GGACACTAGCCCCACAAATCTGTCTGCTGCTGTGCCTCTCTAATGCCTCCAAACTCTCTTTTAATCCTATTCTCAAGCTTTCATTGGAAGGATAGTCCATTACTGCTAGCTGATTATAGCTAGAAGGTGACCTTCATCCTTCCCAGAGTTTCTGTGATCCTAACATGAGGAACGTGAAAGTGATTTGATTCAGAGAATATTGCAGAACAGGTGTCCAATAACATAACCAAAACAGTTAAAATAATTCAAAAATTATTACAGTGATGATTACTTCTATTAATCTTAATGACAATATTTCAAAATCAAAACTTCAAATTAAATATTTTACTGTTGTAATTGAGCTTCACGTTGACAGCAGATATTGGTTTTTCTAGCTTATTTGATAGTTATATTTCTCACTGAGATTTAATATGCTGACATTTTGATTGATGCCGTTATTTGTAAATTTGGTGTGTATAATAGTAATATTAATAATGATAATCCTAACACAACAATAGCAGCTGATACGTACCAACCAATTAACATATGTCAAGTTTGGTTCTAAGTCTTCTGTATCAATTATTTCATTTCCTCCTCACAGCAGACCTGTAGGATAGATACTGTTGTGAGCCCCATTTCACACAGAAAGAAAGCGAGGCTCAGAGGGATGAAGAACTACCCACGGGGCCACACAGTTAGTAACCAGCAGAGCAAGGGTTGGGCCAAGGCTGCCTGGTTCCAGCTCTGGGCTCCTAGCCGCTCCGCTGCTCCCTATCAGCTGTAGGACAGCCGCCGAAGACTGAGACTGCACGAGGCTGTGAAAAGACTCAGATTTGAAATACAACCTCGGGAGCCCTGGGAGGTCCTATGTAGACAAGCAACAGATGTTTTTGTCCTCCTTTAACTCCACAAATATGAAGCAAAAGCACTTACTAAACATATTTATATGCAATCATGGTTTTGAATGGCTTCCCTGGTGGCTCAGATGGTAAAGAATCTTTCTGCAGTGTGGGAGACCTGGGTTCGATCCCTGGGTTGGGAAGATCCCCTGGAGGAGGAAATGGCAATCCTCTCCAGTATTCTTGCCTGGAGAATCCCATGGACAGAGGAGCCTGGTGGGCTACAGTCCTTGGGGTCACAAAGAGTCTGACACGACTAAGTGACTAACATTTTCACTTTTATGGTTTCAAAATCTGGAGTTCAAAGATAACAGAAGTTACACATGGTCCCTGTCCCTACTGAGTCCTCGTCTATGGAAAGGAATGACTTCCACGGATCTCGATGGGGAACACGTGTAACTCCATGGCTGATTCATGTCAATGTATGACAAAACCCACTGCAATGTTGTGAAGTAATTAGCCTCCAACTAATAAAAATAAATGAAAAAAAAAGTCTTACACCTGTAGCTTTTAATTGCAGTCAAGTGGAGAATGCCAAACCTAGAAGGAGCATGCCCAGGGTCCATGTTGGTCTGGACGGCTAAAGATGGCTTTCTGATGGAAGTGACATTTCTGCTGAGTCCTCTTAGAGACATGAAGAGGAGCAGGGTTCAAGAGCACCATGAGCAGGTGAATCGGCACGCACAAGGGTCTGAGGCTGAAGCTGGGGCTGGAAGGGGCCTGGGCCACTCAGGGAAGTGGAGGAAGGTCATCCAACTGCTGGCATCTACGCCGGAGGAGAACCCAGAGAGAAAGGGAAGAGAACTCAGTGGGGGCCAGAGCATGTTACATTACGATGTGGTCAGGTTAGAGACTTGGAATTTAACTGATGAGTGATGGAAAGCCATGGAAGGATTGACAGGAATGGCATGATCAGAACTGTGAAGTTGCATATTTAATGGATCATTCTGGTTGTGTGGTAGAAAACACACTGAAGGAGAGCAAGCCTTGAAGCAGTGAGGAGCCCAGGTGAGCAAGGGGCCCAGGTGAGCAAGGGCCCAGGTGAGCAAGGGACCCAGGTAAGTAAAGGGCCCAGGTGAGTAAGGGGCCCAGGTGAGCAAGGGGCCCAGGTGAGCAAGGGCCCAGGTGAGCAAGGGGCCCAGGGGAGCAAGGGCCCAGGTGAGTAAGGGGCCCAGGTGAGCAAGGAGCCCAAGTGAGCAAGGGGCCCAGGTGAGCAAGGGACCCAGGTGAGCAAGGGGCCCAGGTGAGTAAGGGACCCAGGTGAGTAAGGGGCCCAGGTGAGTAAGGGGCCCAGGTGAGCAAGGGCCCAGGTGAGCAAGGGCCCAGGTGAGTACGGGGCCCAGGTGAGCAAGGAGCCCAAGTGAGCAAGGGGCCCAGGTGAGCAAGGGGCCCAGGTGAGCAAGGGACCCAGGTGAGCAAGGGGCCCAGGTGAGTGTGGGACCCAGGTGAGCAAGGGGCCCAGATGAGCAAGGGGCCCAGGTGAGTAAGGGGCCCAGGTGAGCAAGGGGCCCAGGTGAGTAAGGGGCCCAGGTGAGTAAGGGACCCAGGTGAGTAAGGGGCCCAGGTGAGTAAGGGGCCCAGGGGAGCAAGGGGCCCAGGTGAGCAAGGGGCCCAGGTGAGTAAGGGGCCCAGGTGAGCAAGGGCCCAGGTGAGCAGCAGCCCAGGTGAGTACGGGGCCCAGGTGAGCAAGAGGCCCAGGTGAGTAAGGGGCCCAGGTGAACAAGGGCCCAGGTGAGTAAGGGCCCAGATGAGTAAGGGCCCAGGTGAGCAAGGGCCCAGGTGAGCAGCAGCCCAGGTGAGTACGGGGCCCAGGTGAGCAAGAGGCCCAGGTGAGTAAGGGGCCCAGGTGAACAAGGGCCCAGGTGAGTAAGGGCCCAGATGAGTAAGGGCCCAGGTGAGCAAGGGCCCAGGTGAGCAAGGGGCCCAGGTGAGTAAGGGCCCAGGTGAGCAAGGGGCCCAGGTGAGCAAGGGGCCCAGGTGAGTAAGGGACCCAGGTGAGCAAAGGGCCCAGGTGAGCAAGGGGCCCAGGTGAGCAAGGGGCCCAGGTGAGTAAGGGCCCAGGTGAGCAAGGGGCCCAGGTGAGCAAGAGGCCCAGGTGAGTAAGGGGCCCAGGTGAGTAAGGGCCCAGGTGAGCAAGGGCCCAGGTGAGCAAGGGCCCAGGTGAGCAAGGGGCCCAGGTGAGTAAGGGCCCAGGTGAGCAAGGGGCCCAGGTGAGCAAGGGCCCAGGTGAGCAAGGGGCCCAGGTGAGTAAGCGCCCAGGTGAGCAAGGGCCCAGGTGAGCAAGGGCCCAGGTGAGCAAGGGCCCAGGTGAGTAAGGGCCCAGGTGAGTAAGGGCCCAGGTGAGCAAGGGGCCCAGGTGAGTAAGGGCCCAGGTGAGTAAGGGCCCAGGTGAGTAAGGGCCCAGGTGAGTAAGGGCCCAGGTGAGTAAGGGCCCAGGTGAGCAAGGGGCCCAGGTGAGTAAGGGCCCAGGTGAGTAAGGGCCCAGGTGAGCAAGGGCCCAGGTGAGCAAGGGGCCCAGGTGAGTAAGGGGCCCAGGTGAGCAAGGGGCCCAGGTGAGTAAGGGGCCCAGGTGAGTAAGGGCCCAGGTGAGTAAGGGGCCCAGGTGAGCAAGGGGCCAGGTGAGCAAGGGGCCCAGGTGAGCAAGGGCCCAGGTGAGGGAGCAGCCCAGGACAGGGGGCTTAGTCGGAGGAAGGCATTAGTGCTGGTGATGAAGAGAGGACAGCACAGGGCCGATTTCAGAAGGAGCAACGGGCAGGACTTGGTCCTTGGCGACTCGGGTTTCAATAGAGACTGATGTGAAAATACTCTCACGTTCTTGGGATAAGCAACCCAGGAGACGGAGGTCGGCCCTGTGAGGAGAACACCAGTTTGGAAAGGAAATTTCCGAGACAAGTTTCTGAGACGAGTTTCTGACAGGTTGAGCCAACGCTGCTTGTGAGACACCCAGGTGGAATTTTCTGGTCGCGGTTGCAAACACATGTTAGGAGCTCATGGGAGAGGGCTAGGCCACACACAGGCAGTCCGTGCCAGACAGACTGTAATTTAAGTGATGGGAGATGTTGGAGCATCTCAGAAAGAGCAGAGACCCAGACCCAGGGGGCCACACCCGGCAACCTGATGGACTAGAACCTTCTTTAGTCCTGGTCCAATGTTGCTGACTCTTCCCACCTCTTTCTTCCAATTACTTTTCTCGCTTCTTCCTGGAGATGCAAGACTAGATTCCTCTTAGCTGCTCTTCCCAAGCCCTCGCTGACCTCCCCCTGCAGGTCCCAGACTGCAGGCCATCTCCCAGGTTGGAAATATTTCTCAGCCACCAGCTCGTCTCTAGACACCCCAAATCCAAACCCCTTGTTCCTTTACAAGGTCTGTGAGAGGCTCCTGGAATCCTCAGCACGGCCAACCCCACCAGGATCATGGTCCCCAGGTCAAAGTGAGCCAGGCCTTTCTGGAGCACACGCCTCTGCGCTCACGTGCTGTGCGTGTCCTTCTCCTGCAGACTCTTCCTCCACAGCTCCATCAACCCTGGCTCACCTGCCCCCATGCAGCGGCCACCCTCCATCCCCGGCCCAGAGCACTGTGTGACCTACCGACTGGCTCAGCCATGCCTCTGAGTCTTTGCTGAATTTGACCCCTGTGACTGAAACAACCTTCCTTAGTATTTCGGAGGTGATACTATGTATTTGTGCGTTTTGATCTCTCCACTCTAAGCACACAGGAAAACCACATCTCACACCCCACTGCATGTGGATGAGCCTGCGAGATTACCTCTGGCCAGCAGGAAAAAATGATGATATGAAGCTTCCATGCACTGCCCTAGAAAGCACTCCTGAAGCCAAGCACTGAAAAGGACACCATGCCAGGGCGGCAGAAGGAGCACTGGTCCCTGGAAGGCTGCATGAAGGAGGTGCCCTTGCCCCTGACCACCAGCCTCTTGGGAGGGTGATGGAAGCAGCTTAAACGTTTCTTCTGCTGAGGGTGCGAGATTTCATCATGCACTTGTCACACAGCGCAGCCCAGCCAGCCTAGCTGACACATCATTACCCTCCCCGCCCAGCCCTCTCTCCACCCCACAGATCCCGGCGGACCTCTGGGCTCTTCTCAACAACCTGCGCCTGAGAAGCGATGGGGACGTGGACTCAGGGGTCGGGCTTGTCCAGCAGCACCCACCGCTCTTCCTGGTGTGATTGTGCTGCCCCTGCCCAGGCTGTGAACTGCAGCATTGCCTCCTGCCCCGGGCCCCACAGGTGAGTGCCAGGGGCCCGGCCAGGCCTTCTCCTCCTGGCCTGCACCAAAGTGGGCATATGGGAAGCCTGCTCTGGGGCTGCCCTATATTCAATAGCTGGAGATACAGACACACACCCCCTGTGCCAGCAGGAGCCCTGTGAGGAGATCCTGGTGCTGGGGGCCTGTCTCAGACGTATGTAAGAGAACCCGGGAATTTGGTTGGATCTCAGAGAAAAGCAAAAATGATGGTGATAAGACAGAGTTCCTACAGCTCTGTTGAGTCCTGGAGCCCCTCCTCCCTTGCAGGTGTCTAAGGAGTAAGTCCCTCCCTTCAGCAAACACAGCTGGAGTCCCCAGGGTTATTCACCTGGAACCTAAGAGCTCAGATTAATACCGATGCGCTGACGTCAGAGATGACACAGGCTTTGTCCACCTGCTCATTCTGCCACACGTGTGAGCCGTCAGTTCTCAGGTGCTCAGCTGATCCCCGCCGCGCTTCAGCGATCTATCCTGAGCTTTTGTGTGCAAGTGGTGTGAGGTTCTTCTGGAGTTTCTCCTGGGTTCACTCTAAGATTTTCTGTGGAAATGTGTGTTTTTAGGTGATGATGCAGAGATAGATAGGTAGAGATGGAGAGATGCTTTTTGTGTACTTTGTATTAATGACCGGAGAGTTCTCATAAGTGTGCAATACTAGTACGTGATAAAATTAACAGAAAAGACAGTCACAGCATGTGGTTTAATATATCAGATTCGTCCCATGCATCCTGTACAGTGGTTAGAGTTCATTTCAGCAAAGTACAAAAAATAAGACCTGTGAAATAAATATTTACTACATGTTCAATGTGTCCAGCCTAAAATTCAACTATTTCTTAGCACAGATATCTAGCTTTTAGAGATTTCAAATCTCTTTGGTTCAAACGCTACCAGGAAAATTCCTTTGCTGTTTTATTTTTCCCCACTCTTTCACTTTATGTGGAACAAGGATGCAGGAGTCTGCCCGTTTCTGCAGAGTACAGAGAATTCGAGAAGCCTTCCAAAGTGCAATGGTGCAACTTCATCTTTTTTATGTGAGAGTTGTAGTCATGAAAATATCGTATTGCCTCATCTTGGGTCAGGGAACATAATCTGAGTAAGGAAGTTATTCAAACATGCAAGATATATTTGTGAAATTCACACAAATTCCTGCTAAATTTTTTTAAATTAAATTTTGCCCAATGTAAACAAGCATTTGTTTACTCTAAGCATGTGCGACAGTTTCAACTATAATTCCAAAATGGCTTTGCACATCCTGAAGCCCCATCCACTGCTAGAAATTTCCAGGGGCTGTCAAAAGCTCCCGCAGAAAATCACAGTGTCGCTAGGATACACCAGCATCATTCTCCTTTCGAGTGCTATAAGTTTTAGGGAATTTAATACAAAAGTCTGTTGAGGAAATTTACCTGTGAAACAATTTGGGTTGAAAAAATTTTTCTCAGAACAAATAAGAATGAAAAGTATAATAATTATATCAATATTGGTGTGGTTTTTTCAACATTTTGAAAGTCTGAAAGAGAAAAAGGAAAAGTCATGAGATTCTCCATCCACTTCACTAGCAAATGTTTCTTTGTGAAAACACCACCTCCCCACAGAACTGCTTATATGGAATCAGGATTTCTACACCGTTTTCTTCTGCTCATCCTCACGCCGGCCATAAGGATGAAGCTCTAGCTGGGTGACTGTCATGTCCATGCTAGGGAACAGGCATGCAAGATGCTTCCAAGTAGAGACATCATGTATGCTTATAACCTCACAGGTATATAGGTTTTGTTTTTTTTTTATTACCTCCAAATGATGCGCTTTTTTTGCCAAAAGAAGCCTAATAGCGCATGAAATCACAGAAATTATGACCAGGAAGGACTTTACTGAGTGCTTAGTCTAGACAAAACATTGCTTTTTCAGCAAGACTTCATCCTGAAATGCTATACGAGAGTGTGTACAGTTTGTATTAGGTTCTTAATGTCAATGGTCTAATTCCATGAACTCATTGAAATCTATTGACTCATAAGTAATTCTGTAGACAGTGAGTATCCCTTGGTACAAGCTAAAAATAATCACGTAAGAATCGAGTGTGCCCCGTCTCTCTGGACTGCAGGAAGGGCCGCACACACTGCTGGATCATCCCACATGCCCACTGGCTGAGCTGCAGCACACAGATGTCTGGCTGAACCCCAGTCCGCATGGGCCAAGAGGGTACTTCTCAGCTGCGATGACCATCCCAGTCTGGACTCTGACTAAGGCAGATCGCCCTCTATACTGTGGGTGGGCCTCATTCAGTCAGTTGAAACTTACTCTGGACTGCTTTTGTCAGGGAGAAACCACTGAGCCTGCCTGGAGTTCTTGGCCAGGCTTCTGGACGAGAGGAAAAGCCTGGATCTGGAGGCTCCTATCCCAGCCGTGGTGCCACATGAATGAGGCTCGCCTCTCTCAAAAACGGCAGCAACGTTTGCCCTGCCTCCCACCCAGGCCGGGGAAGAACAAGAGCACGGAATTGGGAGACAACTTTGGTACCAAAAAGGGTGTGAGTTAAATTGCAGAGGAAGGAACACTTCCAAACTCATTCTACGAGGCCTCCATCACCCTGATACCAAAACCAGACAAAGACAACACACAAGAGGAAAACTACAGGCCAATATCATTGATGAATAGAGGTCCAAAATCCTCAACAGAATTTTAGCAAACAGAATTCAGCAACACATAAAAAAGCTCATATACCGTGATCAAGTTGGGTTTATTCCAGTGATGCAAGGATTCTTCAATGTATGGAAATCAATCAATGTGATACACCATATTAACAAATTGAAAGATAAAGACCATATGATCATCTCAATAGATGCAGAACAAGCCTTTTGACAAAATTCAGCACCCATTTATGATTAAAACTCTTCAAAATATGGGCCTAGAAGGAACCTACCTCAACACAGTAAAGGCCATATGTGATAAGCCTACAGCAAACATTACTCTCAATGGTTAAAAACTGAAAGCATTCCCCCTAAGATCAGGAACAAGACAAGGGTGCCCACTTTTGCACTATTATTCAACATAGTTCTGGAAGTCCTAGCTACATCCATCAGGGAAGAAAAAGAAATAAGGAATCCAGATCTGAAAAGAAGTAAAGCTCTCACTATTTGCAGATGGCATGATACTGTCCACAGAAAACCCTAAAGATAGTATCAGAAAATTACTAGAGCTAATCAGTGAATTTAGCAGGGTTGCAAGATATAAAATCAATACACAGAAATCAGTTGCATTTCTATGTACTAACAACAAAAACTCAGAAAGAACAATTAAGGAATCAATCCCATTCACCATTGCAACAAAAAGAATTAAATATCTAGGAATAAACTTATCTAAGGAGATGAAAGAACTGTACACAGAAAGTTATAAGACACTAATGAAAGAAATCAAAGATGACAGAAACAGATAGAGAGATAGTCCATGTTCTTCGGTAGGAAGAATGAATATTGTGAAAATGACTATACTGCCAAATGCAATCCACAGATTCAATGCAATCCCTATCAAATTACCAATGACATTTTTCACAGAACTAGAACAAAAATCCCACAATTCATATGGAAACACAGAAGGCCCTGAAAAGCCAAAGCAGTCTTGAGAAAGAGGAATGGAGCTGGAGGAATCCACCTTCCTGACTTCAGACTACACTACAAAGCTACAGTCATCTAGACAGTATGGTGCTGGCACGAAAACAGAAATACAGACCAATGGAACAGGATAGAAAGCCCAGAAATAAACCCGCGCACCTATGGTACCTTGTTTTTGACAAAAGAGGCAAGAATGCACAATGGGGCAGAGACAGCCTCTTCAGTACATGGTGCTGGGGAAACTGGACAGCTACATGTGAAAGAATGAAGTTAGAACACTTCCTAACACCATCCACAAAGATAAACCCAAAATGGATTAAAGACCTAAATTTAAGACCAGAAACTATAAAACTCTTATAGGAAAACATAGGCAGAACACTCGATGACAGAAATCAAAGCTTGATCCTCTATGACCCACCTCCTAGAGTAACAGAAATAAAAACAAAAGTAAAGAAGTGGGACCTGATTAAACTTAAAAGCTTTTGCACAGCAAAGGAAACTATAAGCAAGGTGAAAAGACAACTCTCGGAATGGGAGAAAATAATAGCAACTGAAACAACTGACAAGCAATTAATTTCCAAAATATACAAGCAGCTCATACAACTCAATACCAGGAAAACAAACAACGCAATCAAAAAGTAGGAAAAAGACCTAAACAGACACGTCTCCAAAGAAAACATACAAATGGCAAACAAACACATGAAAAGATGCTCAACATTGCTCATTATTAGAGAAATGCAAGTCAAAACTACAATGAGATATCACCTCACACCAGTCAGAATGGACCTCCTCAAAAAGTCTACAAACAATAAATGCTGAAGAGGGTATGAAGAAAAGGGAACATTCTTGCACTGCTGGTGGGAATGAAAATTGATACAGCCACTATGGAAGACAGTATGGAGATTCCTTAAAAAACTAGGAAAAAACCACCATACGACCCAGAAATTCACTCCTAGGCATACACCCTGAGGAAACTAAAATTGAAAGAGACACATGTATCCCATTGTTCTTTGCAGCACTATTTACAATAGCTAGGACATGGAAGCAACCTAGATGTCCGTCAACAGATGAATGGATAAAGAAGTTGTGGTACATACACAATGAAATATTACTCAGTCATAAAAAAGAAAACATTTGAGTCAGTTCTAATGAGGTGGATGAACCTAGAACCTACTATACAGAGTGAAGTGAATGAGAAAGAGAAAGATAAATACCATATTCTAACACATATATACGGAATCCAGAAAAACGGTACTGAAGTATTTATTTACAGGGCAACAGTGGAGAAACAGACAGAGAGAACAGACTTATGGACGTGGGGAGAGGGGAGGAGAGGTGGGATGTATGCAGAGAGTAACACGGGCACTTACATGAGCATATGTCAAATAGACAGCCAACGGGAACTGGCTGTGTGGCTCAGGAAACTCAAACAGAGGCTCTGTATCAGCCTAGAGGGGTGGGATGGGGAGGGAGCTTCAAAAGGGAGGGGATGTATGTATACCTGAGGCTGATTCACGTTGAGGTTTGGCAGAAAACAGCAAAAGTCTGTAAAGCAATTATCCTTCAATACAAAAATTAATTAATTTTTAAAAAGGGTGTGTGTGCGCATATGTATGTGCGTCTGATGTGTGTGATGGGATGTGTGCAACAGGATGTGTGCGTGTGATGGTGTATGTGTGTGTGTGATGGCATGTGTGTGTTGTGTGTGTGTGTGATGTGTGTGATGGGATGTGTGCATGTGATGGTGTGTGTGTGGGTGTGGGGTGTGTGTGGGGGGTGTCTGCTGTATGTGATGGGGTGTCTGTGTGTGTGACGGTATATGTGATGGTGTGTGTATTTGTGTGCTGTATGTGTTGTGTGTGTATGTGTGTCTGATGTGTGTGTTGGGGTCTGTGTGATCACATGTGCTATGGTGTGTGATGGTGTGTGTGTCTGTGTGATGGTATGTGTGTGAGGTGTGTGTTTGTGTGATGGTGTGTGTTCTGAGAGAAGGCTACTTCCTGAGATTTAGGGCTTCCAAATACAAATGCTATTCTGGAAGACTTTTAAATTCATATAAATCATGATTAATGGGAGTGCAGAAAAGCAAAGAACATTTATTTTGGTTAAAAAAAGGCCGTTGCAGTAAGTAAACCTCCAGACTACTAAGCACAGAGGGAGGGACGGCGGGGAGAAGACGGCGCACTCCGCGCCCTGGCCTGGGCGGTGACTGCACCACGGTCGGCAGAGCCGGGAGTGAAGGGGGACCCCTCCTTCCCCGGCGCGGATGTGGGCGGGGCGGGTCCCCGGCACGCGTGCGCCCTCACACGGGCGCGGTCAGGCACCTTCGCCCGCACGCGCACGCACACGCACACGCACACGCGCACGCCTCTGGACCAGGGTGAGGTGAGATGCCCAGGGTCCCCTGTAAGGTCACGGTCAGGCAGAAACTGGACGAGACAAGGCAGTCCCCTGTGGCTGCCCTTGGAACGTGTCCCCGGGCCCAGCCCCCTTCCCACGGGGCCAGGGCCGCCCGGCCCCCTCCGCCTGCGGGCGGGCTGCAGAGAGCGCGCAGCCCAGCGAGGAGTGAGGGCGGGGTTCACACACCCCGGAAGGGCTGTGAAGGGGGCGCTGAGGCCGGGGGCCGGGGGTCTGAGCAGCTGGCTGTGGACGGGGCAGCTCGGGGCGCGAGGAGGGCGGCGGGAGGCCCTCAGGCCCCCCTGCTAGGAGACCCCGCCTCTCCCAGGGCTCCGATTCCCCTGGCACGCGTCTGGGCAGCGCCCAGCTCACAGGGAGCGCCCGTGCCTCCTCCAGACAGGGTGGCCTCAGGCCAGCTGGACGTGGTTACACGGGCAGGGTCTCAGACGCCTCCCTGGCCGAGGCCCAGACCGCGGGCTCGCGTGGTGCCCAGGGGGTGTGCAAACTCGCCTGAGTTTGAGAAGGGCGGCTCTGCACATCTGTCGCTGACGTTACCTTTCAGTGCACTCTGAGAGCTCACGTCTGCTTGCCTCCCTGGTGGAGCGCCAGCCCCAGGGGGATGGATGCTGTGCCCCCAGGACTGGGGGCACCCTGCTCCCCTCCCCTCCACTTGCCTCCCAGGTGGAGCTCCAGCCTCGGGGGGTGGAGGCTGTGTCCCTAGGACGGGGGGCACCCTGCCCTCCTGCACGGCTCCGTGGGACCTGGACAAGAGCCAGTCTCCCGGAGGCTCAGCTGCCCTGGCTGCCCGGGGTGTGGCCCCCACCCCCCTGGGTGGGCTTAGATGGAGCCCACAGAAGTGCTTACTGAGATACTGTTAAATGGCTAATTCTTATTCTACAGTCATCGTTCTTGTACAGATGAGGCAAATGAGACGGAGAGAACCTCCATTTCTAGACACAAGTGACCTGTCCTGGGTGGTGGAGCCGAGACTTGAACTTGTGTTCATCAGAGCCCCATGCCTCTGCGGTCTCCACTGGACTCCGCTGTTTCCGAACGTGCCCGGCAGTGAGGGCACCGTCACACAGCTCAGGGCTCCCGTGTCCTCCCCCTTTTTCCTCCCCCAACAGGTTAGAGCTCGGGGTGGATGACGGGATGGGTGCGACTGCCCACGGCCTCACCTGACGGCCCGTGTCCACCTGGGACCAGTTCCAGCATCTGGAGCTCCCACACTGGATCCCAGGCATCAGGAAATCAAAGGACCAGAAGGAGATGCCAGGGACCCACTTGCTGCTGCGTGTGAGCCCACTGAGCCTAGCTGGTAGAACAGGCTGGTGCCTCCTGCCTTTGGACCATAGATGTCCTATCCCAGCCTAGAAAGCTGAGGACAAGAGAAGAAAAGAGTAGCCAGCAAATCACTAGACTCCCCAGAACTGACAGTCAGGGGAGCTGCTTCCAGCTGTCAAATTTCCAGAGAGAGGGACGCCTTTAAGAGCGGTGTGTGTGTGTGTGTGTGTGTGTGAAGTCGCTTCAGTCATGTTTGACTCTGCGGCCCCATGGACTGTAACCCGCCAGGCTTCTCTGTCCAAGGGATTCTCCAGGCAAGAAGACTGGAGTGGGTTGCCATTTCCTTCTCCAGGGATCTTCCTGACCCAGGGATCGAACCCATGTCTTTTGCAGCCCTGCATTGGCAGGCAGATTCTTTGCCACCAAGCCACCTGGGAAGACCTTAGGGGCATCAGCAATGCCAAAAACTCACGCCGGAGCTACTCTAGAAAGTGAGGTACCAATATGAAGCGATGCAGGGGGCTGGATCTCAGGGGTGTTGGGAGTCGTGAACTGCAGGGACGCCGTCAGGAAACACGGAAACACTGGAATCTCATAGAGCAATGACGGGGGCAAGTGAGACTCGGAAATGCCGCGGGTCTACAGGACAGCGAAACCTTCAATTTCCTGGAAAAGGTCAGAAAAACAGCGCACTGTGTCTGAGGCAGCCTTCAAGGGGAAGAACAGACCAGGCTGAATGACAGCCTGCTCCCGGCCCAGGACAGTAAACCTGCAGTGCTGGGGTGCAGAGCAGAACCAGGCACCCTCAGGAATCCTGGGGACGCGGGACAGGTTGGGGGGCCTCCTCCCACCCTGGCATTCTGCTCGCGGCAGCCCAGAACCTAAACCACTGGGCTGGGCATCCTCTCTCGCATCACGCTGTGAGTGCCAACAAGGCGCATGGGTGACCACCATCCTCTGCACGGAGACCTCTCTCCAGTGGGAAGCAGGGACAGACACGTGCGGAACTCAGGCTGCCATGAGACTCCCTCCCAGAATCGCAGCTCGGACACCAGGTGAGACGCCCTCCCCGCTGCGTCCAGAGGTGTGGAGAAGTGGGCCACAGCATGGTCCGCCCAGCCTCTCATCTCTGAGCCACACAGCTAAGGAGAAGAGGCACTTACCAGCTCACAGATGGGCATTCCTTCAGCAGACATTGCTGGAAGCTTGGGTTCCTGCCATGCAGCTTCAGCATCAGTCCTTCTGTTGATCTAAGTGACGGGGCTTCAGAGGGCAGGTGGGGATGACCCAGCCCCCCAGGCTGCCAGAGACAGAAGCCGTTCTGAGGGCCCGATGGAAAAAGAGCCTCAGGAGACGTCCACCCAGGTGCCTGGGAAGTCAGGAGAAAGGAAGACAGAGAGAGACAGAGAGATGGAGACAGAGGCACAGAGAGGGGTTGGGGGACGCACCAGCTGAAGGGTGCAGGCCACGTCTCCAGGGTGGGACCCCCGGGTGAACCAGGCTCCTTCAGCTGAGACCTCTGTGGTCACGGGCGAGTTGCTTCCTCTCTGCCCATCCGTGTCCTCGCCTCCTAAGAGAGATTAGTATAAAAAGGAATGAAGTCATGCCATTTGCAGCAACATGGATGGGCCTAGAGACGATCCTACAAAATGAAGTGAGTCAGACAAACATCTATGATATCACTTATCAGTTCAGTCCAGTTCAGTCGCTCAGTCGTGTCCGACTCTTTGTGACCCCATGGACCATAGCATGTCAGACTTCTCTGTCCATCACCAACTCCCAGAACTTTCTCAAACTCATGTCCATTAAGTCGGTGATAACCATCCAGCCATCTCATCCTCTGTCGTCCCATTCTCCTCCCGCCTTCAATCTTTCCCAGCATCAGGGTCTTTTCAAATGAGTCAGCTCTTTGCATCAGGTGGCCAAAGTATTGGAGTTGCAGCTTCAGCATCAGTCCTTCCAGTGAACACCCAAGACTGATTTCCTTTAGGATGGACTGGTTGGATCTCCTTGCTGTCCAAGGGACTCCCAAGAGTCTTCTCCAACACCATAGTTCAAAAGCATCAATTCTTTGGTGCTTAACTTTCTTTATGGTCCAACTCTCACATCCATATATGAATACTGGAAAAACCAATATCACTTATATTTGGAATCAAAAAGAAAAAAGACACAAATGAACTTATTTCCAAAACAGTAAGAGACTCAGCAGATACAGAAGATAAAATTATGCTTACAAAAAGAGAAAGAGGGATGATGCAAGGGATAACTTAGGAGGCTGTGACTTTCATATTCATATAAAATCCCCTGGAGAAGGAAATAGCAACCAGCTGCAGTATTCTTGCCTAGGAAATCCTGTGGAGCCTGGTGGACTACAGTCCATGGGGTCACAAAGAGTCGGGCACAATTGAGCAACCAAACAACAACAACATATAAAATAGATGAACAACAATGGCCTGCTGTGTAGCAGAGGGAACTCTACAACCTGTGAGGGAGAAGAATCGGAAAAGGATATGTGATGCATCGCTGTTGTTGTTTAGTTCCTCAGTCATGTCTGACTCTGTGACCCCATGGACCGTAGCCTGCCAGGCTCCTCTGTCCATGGGGTTCTCCAGACAAGAATACTGGGGTGGGTTGTCATTTCCTTCTCCAGGGGATCTTCCCCATCCAGGGATCGAACCTGCACCTCCCGCATCGGCAGGTGGATTCTTTACCACTGAGCCACCTGGGAAACCAATACATATATACACATATATACTTATACATATAGTGAAAGTGAAAGTGTTAATGGCTCAGTCATGTCTGAATCTTTGCAACCCCATGGAGCGGGGTTCCTCTGTCACGGAATTCTCCAGGCAAGAACACTGGAGTGGGTAGCCGTTCTCTTCTGCAGGGGATCTTCCCAACCCAAGGCCCGAACCCGGGTCTCGTGCATGTCAGGGGACCCTCCGGTTTGAGCTGTCAGCACAGCCCACATACATGTATAACTGAATCGCTGGGCTGTGCCCCTGCGACACACACAATATTATAAATAACAGTGCTTCAGCTTAAAAAACATTTAAAAAAGAGAGATTAACCATACCAATGTTAAAGAATGGTGGAAAAGATGACCTACCCAACGTGGCAACACCTAGCCAGGGGCCCGGAACCTCCGGGTGATCTGGGGGCATGCCTCCCAGCTCCTGGTGAGGCTGGTTCCGGAGCCAGCGGATGGCACTGAAGCCCCGTGGAGGCCCTTGGGCTGCTCCGCACACCAGACTGACGGGTCTCCTGATGCCCCTGTTACAGCCTCTCTGACCACAGGTGAGCCCCCCTCCCCCCACCCCCTGGCACCGAGCCCTCCCCCCTCAGCCTCACCCTGCATCCTAACCGAGTTGTCTAGCAGGTTCATTCCGGGTCCTGCATGCGGTTTTCTTTTCCCTTAAGATGCCACTGAAGGGTGAGTCATGCCAGCAGGACACTGTATTCACAGTACACGGGAGCCAGCCCTCAGTCTCCTGACTCACCCAGAAGTCAAGAGCGGGCCTGGGCCGTCCTAACTCCAGCCCCGGAGATGACTCACCTGCTGCCAGGATGGGCCGGAGAGGCAGGCCTGTCCCTCTGGAGCCTGGCCTGTGGGGGACTGACCACCTGAATTTCTGCAAGACTGCTCTTGTTCTAAGAGGAGCCTGGATCCTACTGAAAGCAAATGGCCCGGTGAGCGGAGCGTCGGGAAAAGCATGTTGTCGTGCACCTTTATGAACGTACCTCCTCCATCCCAGCTCAGCAAAAAGGAGCCCAGAGATTCCTCATCCTGCTCTTCGGGGAGGGGACTGGGCAGGGTGATCCAGGATGACACTCATACTCAGAGGTCTTTCATGTGTGTCGGTGCTGTTGTTTTAGCTGCTAAGTCATGGCCAACTCTTTTGCGACTCCATAGGCTGTATCACGCCAGGCTCCTCTGTGCATGGGACTTCCCAGGCAAGACTCCTGGAGTGGGTTGCCATTTCCTTCTCCGGGGATCTTCCCGACCCAGGGATTGAACCTACATCTCCTGCATGGTAGGTGGGTTCTTTACCACTGAGCCGCCTGTGTTTCAGACAGCTCAGTTCAGTCGCTCAGCCGTGTCCGACTCTTTGCAACCCCATGGACCACAGCACGCCAGGCCTCCCTGTCCATCACCAACTCCCAGAGTTTACGCAAACTCACGTCCATTGAATCAGTGATGCCATCCAACCATCTCATCCTCTGTCG